AGTAAAGACCACACAGAGAAGTGCTAAGTGCCAGACTGGGGAAGACCCTCTAGAATTCCCAGCTAAAGCTTGTTCTACAGACAAAGCAAAACAGTCAACACAGGTAAAGGTTATAGAGAGCTGGAAAAAATCTAACTCATGTGATATTCCTTCATAGCAACATTCCCACACTCTGCCACAGAAACTGTTAAACAAATTACTACAGAAAGCAATGGGGCAAAAAATGAGCCTTGAAAAATATCATCTTTGCTGCAGATTTTTTTTTTGCATGGAAATCACTAATAATGTGCATAACGACTTAACTACAAGGATGCTCACTGTGGTGCAGTTTATATTAACAAAAATCTGCAAATAATTAAACCATCCCACCTCAGTGGTGTTTCATAAATCATGATGTCTGTAGGCTACAATACCATTCAACCTTTCAAAATCAGGTTGAAGAACTATAATTACCAATATGAAGAAAATTTCCTATATACTAGTTAAAAAAGTATAAATTTTTATTTTTTCCAAATAATGAAATGATTCCAAAGTCTTGACTAGTTATATCTCCATTTAGAATTATGAATAATTTTCTAACTCATTTTTGTTTGTTTGCTTTGATTTTTACAGCTGAACATGTTGTAAAACTATCAAAAATAGTAAGGTGCTAGTGTTTAATATTAATAAAACATCTGTTTTCAAGTGCTATTATCCTGCTTCCTAAGAGCCATTAGGGATAGACACATGGGAGGCCACACCACCTGTTCATGAGGTGCCTCAGGTAGGCTTCGGCTTTGGATGCCATGGTCTGTAGCTTATATATTTCCCCCTCCTTCCAGTTCTCAAGCACAGATACCTGCCAAGACATCAGACAATGTTTAAGCACTTCACAAACAGAACCTGAAACTATTTTAAGGGTTAGAATGGAAACAATCCAAACCACTTTCCAGTTTCCCCTTACATGAGTTATGATGACAAGATCACCAGAACCTGTTGCTGTGATTTCTTCCAGGTGCGTACAAATTAAAACGTTAGGATTTGAAAACTGCACTAAAGCCATCCACTGTGGAACCTCTCACAGACATGGCTGGACATGGCTGTCTGCACAGCCAGGTGACCATGTGTGTGCTGTGATCAGAGTCTCCATCCATGGAGCTGCTCTCGGCACCAAGAGCACCCTTCAGACCCCTGGCTTCCCCACAAGCCAACAACCAGGTGTGTAAGAATTATTGTAGGAAATGCAGAATAGCCTAGTTTTAACACATTCAAATCCGACTGTAAACGTGTTAATCCCAGGGTCAGTAACCTTTCAGGGCCTTCCGGGCAAACTACTTGGCAGGCGGAGGTGAAGGCAAACTACAGGAGGTCAGGAGGACAAGGGTGGGGAAGGGGCCGTTCTCTTTGGCCTTATCCCCCTCCTTCCCTTAGAAGCAGCTGCATGGCCGAATTTCATGGAAAAGCCTGATGTTTGCAGACTATAAATTAACTCTTCTCATTTTCCCTGAACAATTACAGACACATGTACCAATAAATACCACTTGTTTTCTCAGCCAGGAAAAAACACAGACAACCACGTTCTAGAAATAAAGAAAAAGCCAGACATCATTTTCATTTTTGTCTCAGTACTTTTACAAACACTGGTATATATTTTTCTAGGGGAGAGCAGAGTATATATTTAACAAGTGGGTTATTTTCATTTGCTTTTCAAGAATTGGCAAATGTTTTAGGTTGACTACTTCATGGCACACAATTGATTAAATAAGACAGAACTACACAAAATGTATAGTATGAGAAATAACTGAATCACACTATTAAATAAGGAAAGCAGGTTAAAAAACCTGGTGTACCTTATGAGTGCCTCTATGTAACAACATACAAGGTGAATGTTGGGATGGTAGGATATCCCTGCCCCGCTCCAGTAATATCACCTTCATATGTAATTAAAGAAACTAAAGCAAACAAACGGCCTTCTGCCTTATCTACCAGTCACCAAGTGTCCCAGTCTCACCTCTGCAATCAGAGCCCTTTGGTGACTCTCTTCGTAATATTCTCTCCCTTTCCTGATACCGTCTTCTATTTTCCTTCTCTCACTTGTAAAGGTGTAACTGCAAATGTTAAAAGAAAAAAAAAATTAGAAAACAAATCCAGCCAGAGTACAAAGGCTTCAAGCCAGGCCCGCTGTGAGACCACAAGGCCATGGCTCAGCTAGCCCGGGGAGCACATGACTCGAGACCTGTGCGGGGTGTGCGCTCTGTGCTTGGCAAGTGGTCGGAGGAAGATACGAAATCAGCAGGGAGTACTTGGTGGGCTGCAGAGAAACAGGTGAGGGCCCCATACCAGAGTGCAGATGTATGAGGGTCAGTGCAGTGCAACCTCGGTATCTCGGTCAAACTCTATACACTAAGCCCCGTCTTTTGAGCCAGAAATTCTGTACTGACACATATTACCAGGAAATGATCCTAAAGAAAAAAGTGACCTGTGCAAGGTTATACACAGTCATAATCTTTTTGTTTTTTTGAGACAGTATCTCACTATGTAGCCCAGGCTGGCCTCAAACTTGCAGCCATCATCCTGCCTCAGCCTCCCGAGTGCTGGGATTACAGATGTGTGCCACCATGCCCAGCTCATGGTCATACTTTTAAAATGGAAACAAAACAAAAGGTCCAATAAACGGGTAGCTAAAAAAAGGTGGCCATGGACCAGGAGGAGAATGTATGAGTATTAAATGAGAAAAGCAAAATGCAACTGCTTACTACTGGTACATGAAAATATATAATGTCCATTAACAAAGATTAAAAGGCTGGGCGTGGTGGTGCATGCCTGTAACCCCAGCACTCAGGAGGCTGAGGCAGGAGGATCACTGTGAGTTCAAGACCAGCCTGGGCTACATAGTAAGTTCTAGTTTAGTCTCAACTACATAGTGAGACCCTGTCTGAAAATAAATAAATAAATAAATAAATAAATAAATAAATAAATAAATAAATAAAAGGAAACTAAATTTAGAGGCCCATAATAAAAGTTCTTAATGAAACAATAATCACACAGCAAAAAGTTACTCATGTAACACAAAAGTTTCTGGGGTGTTCTTGGAGGTGCGGTGCTGGGAAAGGAACCACGGTGCCCCCTGCACACTGCCAGGCAAGTGCTTGTGCTCTGAGCTACGCGTCTCCCAGCCAGAGCGGAAACTTCAAACACATTCTTAGTTTCAAGCTAATTCAGGAAAATAAAAGAAATAATTGACAAACAGATTCAGGAGATTTTATACTGACAATGGGAAATAAAAGCAGAAACAGTAAAATTCAAATGTTTAAATATAGTTACTTAAATATTAGTTTAAAATGTAATAAAGAAAACATATATAGAACTATTTAAAAGAAACAAGCAACAATATATTTAGAAGGCTAGCGTGCTTATCTCTGGCTTTAACAGTGTAAAATATTAAAGTAAATGTAAGCTTAATTTGCCTGTTTTCAAAGGACTGATCCAGATGTAACTCATGTTCCTTATCCATTCCATTGTTTCTCTGGGTAGACCTATAAAAACACAGTCACCAAATTTTAATCAATGTTCAGATATTTTTCAACACAACTCTACACAGTAAATTGCACTTATGTCCATACAAACATCCCCCCCTTGGTACCGGGGATCGAACTCAGGGCCTCGGGCTTGCCAGGCAGGCGTGGCGCTGCTGAGCTAGATCCCCGGCCCTATACAAGCATTTCCTGAATATTTCTCGTTTCTACATTTTGTTTCATTTCAAGTATCTTATAAAAACGGGAGACTCTTCCTTTGACCCCTGGAGGCAGCCAGCTTTTCTTCACACTAAGTCATGTGCTCATGGGCCACCCCACCCTCGGTGAGGAAGGGCACCTCGATGCCTTCCACCTGCCACAGCCCACACAGTGGCAGGGCCATCTGTGTAAGCAGGAGTTCTCACTCAAACAGTGGCACGTGGACTTTGTGAAAATGGAACCAGGCCCTGCTCTTCCTGTAAGTGAAATCAAAGAGCGGCCTACCCCGCCTGCCCTCCGGGGCACAGCTCTGTGTTAGCAAGGGCACCCTGGAGCGGGGCCAGCCCAGCCCTTCTTTCCATTTCACCCTCACACACCTGTAGTCACTGCGACCTACCAAACCCAGACAGTGGCCTGCAGGACCTCTGCACTCCTCCCTCTCCCAAAGCCTTCCTACTGTCATAGAACTGTGCCATCTTTCACAACCACCTGTGGTTGGTGTGCCATTGCCCCAACCACGAGTTAAACTTTAAGTCCTAGCCATTGGATAAGCGAGATCAAAAGTACAGACATCTGCCAGGCGTGGTGGAGCACATCTGTAATCCCAGCACTTGGGAGGCTGAGGCAGGAGGATCACTATGAGTCTGAGACCAGCCTGGGCTACATAGTGAGCTTCAGGTCAGTCTCAACTACATAGTGAGACCCTGTCTCAAAAAACAAAATAAAAAAAAAGTATAAACATCAATGATATCCAATGAAATAATCCCTCATACCCTTTGTGCTTCTCTAAGAAAGGAATCCAAAAAGATCTTGGGGTTTTAATTTTAAAAATCTGAACATAAAAACTTCAGTTTTAAAGTGTTTACTCATAAAGCAGAGAGGAAAAAGCACAGATACACTTATGGCTTATCTTTAAGGTGTGCCAGAAAAGGTAAAGAAATATAACAAAGCGGAAAAAAAAACAGTTAATAGAGCCGGGCGTGGTGGCGCACGCCTGTAATCCCAGCATTGGGGAGGCTGAGGCAGGAGGATTGATGTGAGTTCGAGACCACCCTCGGCTACATAGTGAGTTCCAGGTCACTCTCAACTACATAATGAAATCCTGTCTCAAAACAAACAAAAACAACAACAACAAAAAAGTTAACAAAAAGCTATTCCACAGGAAAAAGTTAATTTTTATGCTATTATAGAAAAAAGTTTTATTACAGTCTGATTAATTTTGTCTAATATGTCGGAGTCTGTGTCTGAAATGAACACATAAAAATACTTCCACTCGTTTTCATGGTACAAGGGATTGAACACCTAAGTCTGCACTATATCGCCAAGTCTTTGGGTTGTTTTCATTTTGACACAGGGTCTCAGTTAGGTGCTAAGTCGCCCAGGCTGGGCTCAAACTTGGGATCTTCCTGTCTCAACCTCTCAAAGTGCTGGGGTTACAAGCATGTGTCACCACACCCAGCTCCATTTCCACACGTTTAATGCCATAATCTACACATATAAATATCCAGAGCTTTACAGACACTGCTGTTTCCATAATGTGCTCTACTAATAAAACTACTTTTCCCACAATGACAATGGTATGACAAGCTGGTGTGGTGGCACAAACCTCTACCTCCAGCTATGTGGGTGGCCGAGGCAGAAGGGTCTCAAGTCCCAGTTATCTGAGGGCTAAAACTCTTGGCCAGCCTGACCGTCCTCCTGGCCCTTCTTCATGCTGCTGAATCTGAGCAAGCCCAAGGCTGGCTTCAGCATGAGAAGGTGGCCGGAGCAAGGCTAGGACAGCTCTGAGCCCAAATCTTCAGCAGGGCTGCACCTCTGGGAGGCCTTAACCAGCACAAATCTGGCTACCATGTTTGAGGCCACCCAGAAGGGTCACGTAGAGAAAAGCTGAAGGGGCTACAAGGAATGAGAGATGCGGAAACTAACGGGGAGGAAGAGGCTGAGCGGGATGGCTGCCCAGGACGCAGAACAGGCCAGCAGAACCCAGCCTGCCCCAGCCCACACGATCGTGAGCGAGTGAAATGGCTTCACTTCGGCCACGGGGTGCAGATGTTGTCACGCAGGGGCAGATGGCAACATGCTGAGGAACCACGAGGCGTAACGCGTCTGGAACAGGAAGTTAGGGGAGGATCACAGAGGCCTGCGGGACAACCATGCCCCGGTCCGCGAGGATTAGCCACTCTTCACTTTGTAAGATCGAATTCTAATCATTTAAAGATTTAGGATCAAAGTATAAATAGAACACCTTACATGTACACTCAACCCACTTATTTTACCAATAAGGAAAAGAACGTAAAAGGTCATGTCTGTAGTGAGCAGTGGTGCTCACTTAAGAAAGAAACCAGTTCCTTGTGGTCTTCCAGCCCAGCTACTCCCTGGATATGACTATCTGAAAACAGCTAGGTTTAGATATAGTCTTAGGCGAGGTAGTCAACAGATGCTTTTTAAAATGAGATAAAAACAGTGTAAACGCCTTATCTATCAACTTTTACTTGACACAATTTGAAATTAACTCTAAGAAATATGAAAAGAACCACAAAACACAAGAAAAAACAAAACAAAACAAACAAAACAAAACAAAAACACCAACTGCCTTTCAATTACCACTTACATTTCATTGGCATTCAAAACCTTTTTAACTTTCTTCTTCATTGCTTTTAGTCTGTCTTGGATTTCTTTTTTCTCTTGTTCCCATTTGTTAAATTCTCTTTCCAAATCTTGGATGAACCAATCTAATTCTGTCTCTGATATCTAAAAAAAAAAAAGCATTTTAGAATGTATTTGAATAAATGGCAAGATTTACTTTAAAAACCAAACAATGGGCTGGGGATTTAGCTCGGTGGCACTGTGCCTGCCTCGTAAGCACGAGGTTCTGAGTTTGATCCCTGGTACTAAGCAAACAAAAGCCCGAAAGACCAGAGTGGTGGCAGCACCTCAGCTGTCACAGTGATGGTGTCTGGGAGCACATGGCCATGAGCCGGCACCCCCGGCACAGCCACGAGCTAACACCAAGTGCACCTGGTCACACTCGGATCCGCGGGGCGCGCCCGGGCACTCACTACACCCACACCACACACTGCTGCGTGAGGCCCGCACAGGTCTCACCCGGCCAGTCCCAGACATTCTGTTCGCTTTACAAGTGGCAATGGGATTCCTCTGGATGCTCAAACGTCCGGGCGAAGGCCTGCCAGGCCTGGGCAGTGTGACACAGAAGCGAAGCTCCTCTCCAGGCCTCAGGGGCGGGGCTCCACACCACTCGACACCCTGTCCCTTTGGTCAGCTTTGCTGCGCAGTGGCTGCTTCCCGAAATGCCCCGACTTACAAACACTCTAAGAGTTTTAGGTCTTTTTAAGCTCCATCGAGTCGGTGGTGGCCAGGGTGTGGGCAGGCCACATGCTTATTATAAATCACCTTCAAGGAAAATGTTCTCATCTATTAGATGCTAAAGATTAATGTGAACCGGATAATCAGAACACTGTTTACAAGCGACAACTAACAGCAACACTGTAAGAAGTCTCCGGTTTGAAATCCTGCCATCACCAATGACCACTTATTGACATCCTCACTCCTGTCTGCTCTGGGCACTCGCTCCCAACCTTCTGGTATGAATTCTTTTGGGCTGCATATGAAATAGAGCATACATCAGCAATGAACTTCCTTTTTAATATTTTAACTTACTGAATTATTTTGCTAAGTAACACAAGCCCAAATTTAGTATTTAAGTAAGGAAACCTAAATAAACACCCATCCACACAGGCGCACAGCCCTGTGTGGAGGCTGAAACACCAGCACCAGCAACTGCTGCCTCTGACTTGGCAACTGCTCAAGTGCAGGCAACATCGGATACGGTGGCTTTGATTCGACTGTGCGGCGGGCACAGGTGGAGCTAGCGATGGCACTGTGTCCTCCCCTACACAGCGTGCCTTTGTCACCCAGAGTCTAAGCTCAACACTGCACCATCAAGTGCAAAAAATCACTGCAAATCAATAATAATTTTAAAAATCTAAACCTTGTGGGACTGAACTGCTAGCTGTCCGGGGCCCTGTTGGCCTGAGGGCTAGACACACTGCTCTAGGGAAAGCCGCAACTTTCCCTTCCTGCTCAGGTTGAAACATGCCTGGGTACTGAGGACAGCGTTTCTGCTTCAGAAACACAGGGCCCGCCATGATAAAAACTGCATGGTACTGGCAAAGAAACAGACTGGAGGATCAGTGGCTGGATTAGAAGATGCAGAAACAACTCCAGACACACTCAGCTACCTCATCTTTAACAAATGAGCCGAACACCCTCACTGGAGGAAAGATAGTCTCTTTAATAAATGGTGCTGGAAAATCAACCTGCCAAAGACTAAAGCTAGACCCCTATCTTTCACCATGCACTAAACTAAAAGCCAAGTGGATTAAAGATCTAAATATTAAGACAGAAACACTAAACTTGCTGGAAGATAAGTTAGGTAGAACTCTTGAAGACATTGGCATAGGAAAAGACTTTATGAACAAATCCTAGCATGGGAACTAGCACAATCAACAACTGGTATTTCATCTTATTAAAAAGCTTCTGGCCAGGAGTGGTGGCGCACACCTGTAATCCCAGCACTTGGGAGACTGAGGCAGGAGGATCGCTGTGAGTTCGAGACCTGCCTGAGCTACATAGTGAGCTCCAGGTCAGTCTCAACTACGTAGTGAGACCCTGTCTCAAAAAAAAAGCTTCTGCACTGCAAGAGAAACCACCAACAGAGCTAAGAGACAACCTACAATGTGGGAAATTTTTTTTACCAGCTGTTCCTCACACAAAGGTCTACTAAAAAAAAAAAAAAAAAAAAAAAAAAAAAAAAAAAAAAAATCAGACCCCCCCAAATATAAAGACCCAATTAAAAAATGGGCATGTGAAGTAAACAGATATCTTTCAGACAAACAAGTGAAAGCAGCAAATAAATATATGAAAATATGTTCAACATTATTGGTCATTTAAGAGATGCAGATGAAAACAACACTGAGATTCCACCTCACCCCAGAAAGAATGGCTGCTATCAAGAAATTAACCAATAACAACAAATGCTGGCAGGGCTGTGGGGAGAAAGGAATCCTTCCTTCTCCACTCTTGGTGGGACTGCAGACTGGTGCAACCACTGTGGAAATCACTATGGAGATACCTCAAACAACTAGGATTAGAGGTTCCATTTGACCCAGCTGTTCCTCTGCTAGGTTTCCGTCCCAAAGAACCATACCACAGTGATATATGTGCACCCATCTTTACAGTGGCACAATTTATAATACCTAAAACTTGGAAACAGCCCAACTGCCCATCAACTACTCAGCCATAAGAATGAGAAAGTAGGGCCAGGGATTTAGCTCAGTGGTTATGCCGCCTCCCTTGCAAGGACAAGGACCCTAGTTCAATCCCCGGTGAAGTGGGAAGGTAGGGCAAAGGAAAGAACAGAAAAGAAAAAATATGAGAAAAGGAAAAAACAGAAACAAAGTCTTTGTAAATAGGGAAGGATGGAGGGGGAAAAGAGAGGACAGACAAATGGGGAAAAAATAAGAACCAAGATATATCCTGTAAAGGTACAAGATCCCGATGATGAATATAAGTGTACTGTATACCTAAGATGTACCAATAAACTAGATGGAAAAAGAAAAGAAAAATATCCTTTTCTAAGCCTGTAGAGCCCACTGTACAAGACAGGTTAACTCAATTTGTTTAATAAATACGTACTGAAATAAAAACAAAAAAAACAAAAAACAAAAAGCACAGTGCACCCACAGCCAACCTGCCAGGCCTCCGTGGGAAATAACGGGCCTCAAGTCAAAAGCGGTACCGACTTGGAGGCCATTTCTCCTCCCTCAGCCTCAGACACCAGGACTGAAACCAGTCGCACTCCTTTCTGACTGCAGGGGTGGGGCGCCTCAGGGAGCTGTGAGAGGCAGAGGCCTCCTGTCTCCAGCCTGGAGATGGGTCCTGCTCACATTTTCCTTGCTTGTCCCAAAAGTGTCAAGTCATTACTGTGACCTGGGCGACTGCTGTGCCCACCCTACTTACAAACCTGGTACTGCACCCGGCTCGGTTCTGGGACCAGGACCAATGTTGAGTTGCTGATCTCGCTACTGGCAGCCAAGCCTACTGCGCTTCTCACCTGTCCTGTTTCCACTCAGAGCCCATGATCTCACCCTGGACCTGGCTCTTGTCTGGGAGATGAGGTGCAGCTCAAGGTTATGCTGGGGCATGGGAACCTACTTGGCAACGAGATCCTCAGGGAGGTCAGGTAACAAAAGGCATAAAGTATTACAAACACACGAGTGTGCCCAGACTCAGCTCAGGCAGTGGAAATACTACATGAGTTCATGTGCTGTTTATATGGAACACCCTTTAATCGCGGGGCTGCCACATGAGTAACAAAGAAATGACCACAGCTGAGTCCCATCTGCTTTTGTGTGGATAGAAACCAAGGGATTGAGGTCAGCAATCTGTCCCCACAGGAAACAGGTACACATTTCACCAGGGAAGTCTAAAGATGTGTCAAGCCTTTACTTCGAGGGACTAAAGAACTGTCCCATTAAAACCTGGACTGACTACACCAGAGGACAGCCACATGGGGTATGATCAAAGAATCCACTGTAACTGAAAACATAAAAAAACTTATTATAGGGCCAGGGATGTAGGTCCTGAGTTCAATTTCCAGTATCAGAAAAAAAAAAAAATCTACTACAGTAAAAATACACTGCATTAATCTCCCTCAAAATACTCCCCCTTGCTTTGAACACATCTGCACTACTGCTTTTGCCACTTTCTGAAGCAGCTGAACGTCTTCAGTTGTGCCGTCACAGCTGCCTCCATCTCCTGACTTGATTCAAAATGTTAACCTTTCACACACTCCTTTGGGAGGAGCCAGCAGCGGCACGGTGCCAAGTCTGGTGACTACGGTGGATGAGGGCAGGCCATGGAGCTTCTGGGGGCTGCCTTTCTGATGGGTGGCATTTAGCAGGGGCAGTCACCGCCTGACCACATCTTACAAAGGCAGCCCCAAAAGAGACTTTCAGAACTGCTTTAGAAGGGGCAAGAACAATGGAGTGTTGTTGAAGGGGTATTATTGACAATGTGTCCATTACTGTAATCCGTTTTACAAATTTAAATATTCTTCACATATCCACTCCTAGTCTAGGAGACCTGAAGTCAGTCATACTAAGGTAAGAAGCCCCGGGCCAGAGACCACCCATCAGAGCTGCACCTTCCTCAGGTTGCTCTCTGTCCCCTAAGTTTCCTGAGGACTCCACAAATAGTGGTGCTTCAATGATCTGCACGGATACAACACCGAGCTGGAAAAGCCTCTACCTTCAGGGAAAGAAACCTTCACTCCCTCAACGCCCACCGTCAGTGATGGGGGCCCAACCCGCCTTGTCACTAGGGCTGGCCATAGATGCTCCCATGCGAAGACCTTTCCTGGAGCGATGAAAGTCTACAGCAATATTGTACTGTGTTAACTAACCCTCCTTTTCCCCCTGGAAGCAAGTAACAATGGCAAGTAGTAGCTGTGATTCACTGAGCAAGTAACACACTGTCCTATGCACTTTTCCTGCGATAGCTTCTGCAGTCCTTGGCGCCCAGCAATGCTCAGTGCTCAACAAATGTGCCCCAGGTTTTAGTGTGGAGGTGACAGGGATCAAGCAGGGTCCTTGTCAGAAAAGAGAAGCGGACTAGAGGCTTTACGGTGTGTTCACATTTGTGTACCATGTGCTAAGCAGGTTTTTGTTGCTGATGCTGTTTTTTTTTATTATTATTATATTTTCCAACCAGGCAACTGAGCAGAAAAATCTATGGCCCCACATAACTCTTCTTGTTCTCTGCACCTCCCAAGTCTTGTCCTGAGTGTGAACAGGTCCCGGGGCATGAGAACAGCTCCTTTACATATGGACCCTTTCTTCTGGGTTTAGTTAAATTTCAGATAAATGAGTTTCCTGATTGAGGGCCCACTAAGCTCATTTTTTTATTTAATATGTTAATCCAGCTATTGATCGAGACATCTGGAACAAATTCTTCCCTTCTTAAATACTTTTTTTTTTTTTGCTTCTTTTCTGAACAGAAGACAGCAGCTTTTCAAAAAGAAACACAGAGTAATTTTCTCACATCTCTATAAGTCTACTGTCGCATTAATTCAGTGTGGTGTTGCCCATAACTGGGACTACTCCATTGGTCAGTCTCAACTAACAAAAAGTCCAGCTCAGCAGATTCAAAGCCGATGCCCCGCACGACAGTTCTAACACACCTGTAGGCATTCTCCTCATATTGCCTTAGGAGTGAGAGAAGGCGACGGTTAACGCTGACAGTTACAATAGGGGCAACTGAGCCCTCACAACACACCAGGAGGGGTGGGGTACTGAGCACTGAACCAGGGCCTTGACCCCAGCCCCATCTCCAGCCATTTTTAATTCTTAATATCCAAATTACGTAGAGAAGTTGCTTGGGTTGGGCTGTACTGCGGTCTCCTGCTTCAGGCTACCAGTATGCTGGGATTACAGACGTGTACCAGCTACTGCACCCATTCCAGCACAGCAGGTGGGTGTAAGCCCTTCATAGGCAGCAAGCCAAACCCAAGAAACTTGAGCAAGTAGTGCTCAAATTTTCCAGATAAGCAACTAAAGCAGAGAGAAGTTCAGTAACACGCCCAAGACCACAGCTATCAGAACAGAACCCGGCCTGCTAAGCCCCACTAGTCTGACTTTAGGAATCAGTCTCCGCTGAGACGAGAATTTAACTTGGAACTTAGTCACTAGGAAAAGTTTTAGCTAACAGGCCAACTAAATCATACATAAACAAACTCGAATTTACAGTCCTTTTCTCAAAGCAATTTGCAGAAGACTGTTGCTCGCATACGTTTTAGAGAAACTTGAAAAAGGCTACTTTGAGAAAGAATCTTTTATCAACAGTGCAATTCCAGCTAAGTGAGGTTCATAAGTGCGTGGATGCTCCCAACTATGCCAGAGGGTTTCAGACAGGATTACCTTGTTTTCTTCCAGGTTCCTTTTCAGCTTTTCTTCCAGGTCCCTGGTCTCTTCTAAGCTCTTGCGTTTTATCTGCTGGTAATTTTTACACGCTTCCTTAAACTGTTCTAGTAAGACACAGTACTCCTTCTCCATCTGTGAAATGTCCCCCTAGAAGTAAATTATAAAAACCACTTAAAATGCCTATTTATGAGCTGTCTCTTAAACAAAGAGAATAAAAGGAAGATGAAATTTTACAAGGGAAATGTCACAACAATGTAGGAATTAAAACCTCTGAATATGGTTCAACAGAGCCAGCTCTTTTTAAACCACAACTGTTCATATTATTTAAAGTTCAAATATATCAGTTCTGAGTATTTGTTTTAGTAGGATTCAGTATTAGATCAATAGTCTCATTTGAATATTGCTCTCTACAATTGATATCAGGAACTATTAGGTTTCAAAAGTTGAACATATTATATGCATTTTAGATATGAACTGAACAGGTTATCTTTGACCCTACTTTTTTTTTTTTTTTTTTTTTTTTTTT